GTCAAAGTCAGTAGACTTATCCCCTGGGAACCATGAATGTCTGCACAAAATATTTGGCAGTCTAAGGCGATATTGAGATACATTATTTGATAAGGGATGACGCTGCCGCTCCTTCAGTCTTATGTTCTGCTGTCACTAACGGCTTGTGTTGATATTTAACATGAATATTTATAGTGTAGGCTGAGTATTAGAGAACAATACAGTTAAGGTTGAAGCAATCCAACAGAAGGTACAATTATTCTGTCAGGACTGACGTTTTTACCACCTAGACAAATGATTGTGGTGAACCCTTCCACTTTTCATTTAAATCTGTCACAACCCCTCCAAAATAAACTGTGCTTAGCAGAAATGAGTTTGTTTTAGCCAAACCAAACCTCCTAGACTCCACCAACCGTAATAGCTCCAGCATATAATACAGCTAAACATACTGTCTACAACAAAGAACATGCACAACTCACGCTCCTTGTTGTGTCACTACTCCTACTCCCATCTGCAGCTGAGTAATCACGCTTTATTTGTGCAAACGCCCACCCTATACTGACAACATCGAGTTCACACCTGCTCTGTAGGCACTGCCATGTAAAGATCACTATCAAAATAGACACGGCCTTTTCGCCTGAGAGCAGATACACGGATTTTACTGAAAAATACACTCTCGAAATGACAAGCCAAGTTATCCAAAAAAGAGATTCCTTCACGGTTTTGCTGCAACTCTATAGGTTGTGCAGGAGTTCTTGGGCTTTGGAAGTACATGCCGTCCTGTCTGGATTCGTTTGCATCAAGAAGTACTCCTGCTGCCGCCTTTGATTTTCTGGCCAGAAGTCTGAATATCAGCTCCGGGATCACCTATGATGGAAGAGATTATTGTTAACTTTAATGACTTTATGGCAAAAGAGGAGAGCCTGTAATTTCACTCACCGCCACGAATTACAGAACAATTCGCAGCTGAAACCTACGGGAGCTCCTTGGCGGTGGTCGCTCATTACTTCTCACCAGAGCCCCATGCAGATGTCCTATTATGCAGTAATAGTCCCCTTCACTCATGCATAAGGACTTCCACTTGGCACAGGCTGTAACTGTGATCTGAGAAAGACTTCTCAAAATGAGCTGGTTTTGCACATTATTAAAAAGTTCCAGAGCAAACAATCACAAACTGAGGAAACGTCTCATGAATTCCCATACAGCTGCCGTGGAAACAGATAAACAGGAAAACCCATTTTCACTCTCTGAATGCCTTCAAAGTCATAAACCAGTGAGCAACTGGGATCAGTGGAAGCTTCGGCCTTTTATTTTATTTTATTTTTTGTCTTTCCGTCTGCTGGTGTGGCTCAGCTTGGGTCAAATTTTCTGTCTGATGCTGTCTGTTAACGGGAGGCCTGCAGTGCAACAGCATCCTTTTCTCTCCACACAAGTGGCGTGCTTGTGTTTTTTCTGAGCACAAGCCTTCCATGTGTGCAGCTTAGTGCCACCTAGTGGTTGTGAAACATAGCTGCACCAACGTGCCTCCAAAACTCCAGGGGAGGAGTAAGTACTGGTAGATCTTAGTTTGCAGATAAATGCTGAGTATCCTGTGGGAATGGAGAAAATATTAACTGGTGTTTAAGCTCAGCTGAAATAATGTGTCATGTGTTTGCATTAAATTATCTAAATGTGCTGCAGTGCTGCTTGTAAGACGGCAAACAGCAGAGTAATGCTAAGGTTGTGAGTTTGAGCCCTACCTGGAGCAAAGGAGCAAACTGAAGCTATCAGTGTTGAGGAGTTCAACTTCAGGACACCGGAGGCATAACGGTGCAGTTTGCTCCTAATACTATCAGCATGTTTATTTCAGTCTCAGTAATTCAGTCGACACAATCATCTGAAAGAAGATCATAATAGTAGATCTGCTCAACTGTGGTTCAGTGTCACTCCACATTGTGATTCAGTTTGTTAGGAAAAGACTTTAAGTTGTTGGCAGACTAGTGGCTCATAATTTGGATTATTCAGGAATTTGCCTCAGTACTGTGTCTGTGCGAGGTCACATCACGTGGATTACAACTGTTTATTGTTAGCACGCTCTGTCTACTGTCTGCGATTAATTGACCAAGCTGGTCACTTTGGATTTTTTGGCTTGTGACAGTTCGGTAATTTGTCTGAGCACTTTTTCCAAAAACCCATTTCCTTCTCTGTTTGTGTTGCCCAGCTGGCAGGTGTCAGGAGAGGCAGCGAGCATGGATGAGCCGAGCAGCGGGAACAGCAGCCTCCAGAGGAAGAAACCACCATGGCTGAAACTGGACATCCCAACCATCCAGCTGACACCGGATGACACGCCAGCACCCAACCAGGTGAAGGCACAGGACTCAAAAAGCATGTCTGGAGTAAAAGGAAGATAAGAGGTGTAAAATTCTGACTACAAGCACACATTATACTGGAAAAAAATCAATGTTTTTGAGCGCTTTCAACAACATCTGGCGACATTCACGTGGTGGCAACCAGTGTTGGTCAAGTTACTTGAAAAAAGTAATCAGTAACTAATTACTGATTACTTCCCCCAAAAAGTAATCCCGTTACTTTACTGATTACTTCTTTTCAAGAGTAATTAATTACTTAGTTACTTAATTACTTTTTAAAAACATGATTTACAACCTGAATAGGTGATAAAGCGATAGATCTTTCAGCCCAATTCTACTTTTTCTGAAAAAAGTAATCGGATTACAGTAACGCGTTACTTGTAACACATTACTGCCCATCTCTGGTGGCAACTCAGTAAATTCCAGCAAATGAAGAAGACCGTAGCACTGAAAACTCTAACCCTGCTTCTTCTGTGTGGAATTAGCTTGTTTCTTGACATGCAGCCACTCATTCCCAGTGGTACAGAGCATGATTGTATCATTTGTGTGTGTGTTTATGTGTGTTTATGTGCTCGTTACAGCCAGCGAGGCGCCTGCGCAGCGTCAGCATGCCAGGGGAAAACCCTCAGACTTGCATTGCTGCCTTGGAAACTTCCAACAACTACCTCAGACCTCCTGCGGAGAGATTGCCCTCCATCACTCAGTCCATTAAAAGGTTAGACACACACACAGACAGACAGACACACACACACACACAGACACACACACACATGGGTATATAAAGAGAACTCCTCTGTCCTCTCTTCCTATTTTCTCCAGCTGCTAATTTCCTCTTTCTGCTTCAGCAAGCAAAATCCATAATTCTAATAATTCCTCAACTAAACTATTAGATGCTTTTGCTTCCTTTCAATTAATCCTGCTCTCTTTTTTCTCTTTTCCCCCCTTTTACTTTGGCCTTGCTTTTTTCTTTTTTCTTTCCCTTTTTGTCTCCCTTCAAACCTCTTACTCCGACGTGAACGTAGTGAGAAAAGGGTGCACTTTGAACGCATCAACACCGTTCCCCCAAAGGGCCAGAGGAGCCCCAGGAGGGTGTCAGCCATCCGAAGGCGGTCCTGTATCCCCAAGATACTGACCCGGCGGCGTTCATCTATACCAAAACAAATCATCAGGTACATGAGAGGTGAAGTAGGGGGCCAGGATAACAGCGAGTAGAAGCTGTTAGTTATTGGGCTTCAGCAAGCTCCAGGGATGCCAGCATGGACTTACTTAGTTGAAACATCTTGTCAAGTGAGTCTTGACTCAGACTTTCAGGTGAAAAGCTACTGCTTAACCCGTTGCAACGCAAATTCTATCCTTTAAACTACTCACCTGATCTAAAACAGGACCTGAAAATGGGCTTTCAGCACAGGTTCGATTTCCTAAATCCCAAAGACAAAGCCCAAAAGGAAGTAAAGGAGTCCAGTTCTCTGTCACTCCACTTGATTTGCAGTATGCTGAAAGGTTAATTTAGGTTTATTTTTTTGTCCAGTGATGCTAAAAATATGTTTGTTGCTTAATGTCTAATCCAGCCTTAACATTGAGTAAAACAGCTAAACTGAGACTGAAAGCTGGTGGACTAACGTACAGACATCAAATAACTACTGAGTCTTCAAAACAGCTGCTGTTTGCTTGTAAGATCACACCTTTAACTCCAAAGGTGACATATCTGTGTTGTGTTTGTGCTTTATCTTTAAAACATGTTGAAATTCTCAGTAAAAATGGAGCTGATTGGTGAAGCATTTACACGCTATATTGAAAATAATAGAAATAAATTAAAAAATGATTTTATTTTGAAATGTTCATGTAAGATTTGATACATTTTATGATGATGACATGTTTATCACCCAGAACGCTTAATGTCAT